CATAGAAAATAGACCCACCTTATAAGTCTAATGGGCTACTCCTCCTTCTACCAATTGGTTTTGGGATGGAACCCCACTTGGGCTTCATATGGGCTTTCCTTTTCCCCCAGTTTCTTACACTGATAATATACATACATGAACAAAGAAGAAATACATGAGAAAAAGATACAAAAAGGCATAGCTAAAAGAAATTTAGTTCCTTTTTTTTTTTTCTAATTGTCCCAACCAGCCCTTATACAATTCCAGCATGATTATAACTCGTTTAGTTTGTCCAGATATTTGTCAAACCAGAATGTTTTGTGAACCCTACAACCTTTGATTTATTTCAACTCAATTGTTCAACATATAACACTTAGAATTAATTTTTCATTCACCTTAAAATAGTTTTGAGAATTTTCTAAGTCTTCCACTAACGAAAAAGTGGAACCGTTCAGTTGATACAAAACCAGTTTTTGCTTACAAAATGCAAATGCAATATCACAGTTATGGGGTTGAAGTACAAATTACTATGTTTCCAAAACTCTAGCAATTTCGAAAACGGGCCGGGCTAGATCCGGGCCTCAAACCCCCGGCCCGGTTTATTTCAATTAGTAAAGTGTAGCATAGGGTTTTTCTTTCACTCCTATGTGACATACACCCCCACCACTGTTCACTTCACGCCCGCCCGTTCTCCTTCGTCCTGCTCGCGCCGACGAGAGTTACCCGCACTAAATATTGAAATGGCTTTTACTAGAGGCATGAAGCGACCCATTGAACTTCTATACAAAAGATTGAGCAGTCCAGTCAAGTGTGGCCGTGCTTATACTACTTATACAACGAGCAAGGGAGTGTCTAGGTTTTCGGAAGCTAATAATGCTTCTGGTTTCTTAAATCATTCTCGTTCAATCAATAATTCTGGGATTTGCTTCATTCGGACATACTCTTCTCAAGTCTCTGCATCCGAACAAATGAATCTCATTAAACAGTTGAGGGAGAGAACATGTGCGCCAATCAAGGAAGTCAAGTCTGCTCTTGTTGCTTGCCACTGGGATATTGGTGTGCCCGTCGTCAATTTTCCTTGAAGAATCTCTGCATTTTGAAAAGTTTGTGCTTGCCTTCAATTATTTATACTAATGG